TGTTAGTAAAATGTCTGTTAGGACAAAAGTTTACAACCCTGGAATTGAAAAATGACTAATTGGTTTAATATGTGTAATTTTCTTATTTTTTTACCTTCTAGCTCAGTGAGATGCTGTTCTGAAGTTGCTTTCCTCTAGGGCTGCTACTGTCATCTTTTGTTCACTTGGCTAAAGAGGTCAGATGCTTCATCCATTCAAAGATGCATCAATTCTATGATGTGTTGTGTATTGACTATGTGCCAGAGGCTGCAACTGCAAAGGTGGAAGGTGCACTCTGCACTCCAAGAACTTCCCATTAGTGGGGGAGAGACAAGTATGCTTGGCAATTGCAGTAACATGGGATTGAGGGTAAAGTGTGGTTAAACTCTGAGTGCCTTGGGAGCACTATGGAGGATTACATGATCCACCCAGCATAGAGGGGACAGTGGGAAGGATGGGATTTGGGATGTGAATCAAGAAAAAGTAGGCATGCCTGGGGGAAACTGATGTCCTGTGATCTAGCTCTGCTACAAGAATTCACTTTTCCTTTATAATTCATAGAAACAAAATAAATAGACAAATTAATTTATACCTCATATTTTCTAGAATTAGCAATATATATCTGTCAACACCTTGCAGGTATGTGCAGTAATAATTGTTTGTAAAATCTAGCAAAAAGCACAGTATTAGGCTTTCCTGAATAATTTTAAAGTTATTAATTCACAGACTCACATAATGTTAGTACTAAAATAGAACCAAGACATCTTTTTCAGTGCAATACCTTCACAGAGGAGGAAACTGAAGCTCAGAGAGTCAACAAAAAACAAAACAAAACAAAGCAAAGCAAGCAAACAAACAAACAACACCACCACAATCACCAAAAGATTAGAAATGTTTTTCTTGATATTTCCCTTCTTTGCTTGGTTGCTTGGTCACCTTTGAGCGGGTGGGACTAAGACATCTTTAGAGAATGTGTTCTGCTTATGGACTCACAATTCTTTCAGTTATCTATAGGACGATACCTACAAGTCAGTCCAATACAGTCCCTCATTTCCTCCCCATACAGATACCGATTTTGGGTAGATGCTGTGACAGAAAGGCCACAGGAAGGGGAAAGAGCATCTGTCCTAGGGTCAACTTTTGAAAGTTAACTGATGAACTAATATCAATCCATAGACCCAAGGAAGCTTAAACAGATGGAATTTTAAGATAATTGTATTTTAGGATCTACATAGGCTGAGACAATTATGTTAGTGCTTGAACAGAGGCTGCATGGATACTCTGCAACTGGAAAATGAACTATTAAAACAACAAATGGCTAGTGTTTCATAAAGTTCATTTCAAAAGTCTATGTCACTAATACAACTGTAAGTGAAAAGCTGTCCTGTAACTCTTTCAAAGCTGACTGATCAGAGGTGAAAAGTCTAATTTAGGATCATTTAATATCTCAAAGGCTCTTAAATATGCCATGTGAAAAGGGAAGAGTTTAAGAAATAACTAATTTTTCTATATTAATAATACAATACTATAGCAATGCTATCTAATAGAGATATAAGCCATGTATGTTAGGTTAAATTTTCTAGAAATGGTAAAACCAATTTTTAAAAATCATAGTAAATATACAGAACATATTACCATTTTAACCCTTTTCATGTGTACAATTCAGTGAAATAAAGTACAACTACACTGGTATGCAACCATCACTACTATCTATTTCCAGAACTTTCCCATCATCCCCAAATGAAATTCTATACCCATTAAACAATTCTCCCCATCATTCCTTCCCACCAGCTGTTGATAACCCTATTCTACTTTCTATTTCTATGAATTCGACTTTATATAAGTGGAATCATAACAGTATGTGTCCTTTTGTGCCTAATTTATTTCACTTAACATGTCTTCATGGTTCATCCATATTGTAGGATGTATCAGAATTTCAATCTTCTTTAAGCCTGGCTAATACTCCATTGTGTGTATATATATATACTGCAGTTTATCTATCCATTGATGGACATTTGGGTTGTTTCCACCTTTTGGCTATTGTGAAGGTAGAAAAAAAAATAGTGTATCTGTTTTACCCAATATATCCAAAGTATTATCATTTCAACCTGTAATCAATATACAAATTATTACTGAGATATTTTACATTAGTTGTTTTCTAATGTCTTTGAGATCTGCTGTGTATTTCATAATTACAGCATATATCCATTTGAATTAGCCACACTTTAGGCTCTTAATAACCATATGTGGTTAGTAGTTAATGTACTGGATAGCACAGTTCTATAGGAGAGTTTGCATTCAAGATTTTATAAATCATGATTCCTTCTGGATGCCACCATGATGAATAATTTCACCTTATTTTTTTCTCACATAGCCCTAGTGTTTAGAGTTGGGCCTTGGAAGTCAGACTAAACTGAATGCAGATACCAGTCTCTTACTAATTAGCTCAGTGATGTTGGAAGGATTACTTAATCTTTCAAAACCTCAGTTCTGTTTTTTGTAAAGTTGGAAAAAAAGACTATTTCTCCCATAGGGTTCTGTCTGAATTAAAATCAAATAACATAAATAAAGTGCTTAATGTACTTAATGTAGTGTTGCCAAAGTGTGACATAATAAATAGCAACTATAATAAAAATAATCCACTAGATTATAGGTTCACATGGGCAAGGGCTATGTCTATCTTTCAGTGTGCCTGACACATGGCAATTATTTATTTATGTGAATAAATACTTGAACTCTTCCCTCAGTCTTTATATTAAACTTTCGTTTCCATAAACGAAAGTGACATCTTTACACCTTCACAGAGATTGCATGATGATTTCTAATACCTACCTTGCCATGAAGACAGATAATTTATGGTATAGAAAGAACATGAAACTCTTACTCTCATCATTTCCTTTTCTTTTTTATTCAAAAAATTTTGACTACTTCCTTTCCTTTTCCTTGAGAAATCAGGGATGATAGGGCCAAAAAGACTAAGGGCCAAAGGGGCCCTTACCCACAGGGGCAATAAGCAAATATATAAGTAGTCTGAGGATAACAGATAACAGAAACCACCTTATTCTCACTGTTGGGGAAGGGAGTTACAAATATGGAAAGGGTTAAAAGCTAGATTGCCTCTATGGTGTTAGATTGGAAATAGAGCAATCAGTGTGATCTCATAGTCTTTAATATAAATAGAGCAATAGATATAGGCGTGTGTGTGTGTGTGCATGTGTGTGTATGTGTGTGTGTTTCCTAGCCTATTACCTGAAAGGGCCTGGAAGCAATGAGCTCACACAATCCCCAGATCTTGGTTTCTAAATACCATTTTCCATAATGGATGGAGGTCTTCTTGAAGATATGGCTAATTCCAGAGTTGGGCAGAGAAAGTACAACATGCTTATGGAACATTTTATTACCAGAAGGTAAGAAAGTACTCAGGAAAACATGAGGGCCACATCTGACATCATTTGAGCATTAAAATAAATAATGATATTAGTGAGTTATAACTCATTCAATAAAACAGCAATTTATGAGCTCATGTTGATAGAAACAAAAAAATAAGCGGGGAGAAGGGAATGCTCTTCTTCACACTAAGAATGTTTACCTAGTCTCCAAGTATCTTCCCACAAAATATTTATTAACTGCAAAAGGAAAAACTATAATTTTACAGTGACTAAATGTAACAGATATCACCTTAAGCAAGTGGGTTTGGTTACAAGACTAACTCCATTTATGTGACTCCTGATATGATTAAGAAGAATACAGCATTGTTTCAGTAGTATTCCTGCCACAAAAATACACAATTTCAATCTTACAATGAGGAAACATCACACAAATCTAAACTGAGAAACATTCTACAAAATGTACTCTTCAAAAATATGAAGGTCACACACAAAAAAAGGAAAACTACAGAACTGTTCAAGATTGAAGGAAAGCAGAGACAAGACAACTAAATGCAACACATAATCGTGGGCCAAAAGAAAAAAACATTTTTTTTCTATAAAGGATATTATTGAGACATTTGGTGAAAAGCTGAATGGGATCTATGGATTAGAAAGTAAAGTTGATTTACTGAATGTAATTGTTATACTGTGGTTATGGAGAAGAGTATACTTATATTTTTAAGATAATCACACTAAAGTATATAAATTAATTCAGAAAAATATATACACACACCAAAATAAACTCACAGAGGTAGAAAGGAGGATGAGAGAGAGAGAGGGAGAGAGAGAAACAGAGAGAGAGAGAGAGAGAGAGAGAGAGAGAGAGAGAGACACAGAGAGAGAGAGAGAGAGAGAGAGACAGAGAGACACAGAGAGAGAGAGAGAGAGAGACACACAGAGAGAGAGAGAGAGAGAGAGACAGAGAGACACAGAGAGAGAGAGAGAGAGAGAGAGAGACAGAGAGACAGAGAGAGAGAGAGAGAGACAGAGAGACACAGAGAGAGAGAGAGAGAGACAGAAAGACAGAGAGACAGAGAGAGAGAATACAACCAGTGTAAAATGTTAAACATTGGAGAACCTGAGTGAAGAGCATATGGAAATTCTTTGTTATTCTTGTATCTTTTCTATAAGTCTGAAATTATTTTGATGTTAAAAATTAAAAATAAAGAGCATGGGCTTTGGAGTAACTCAGATTCCATTTTGAATTCTCAGTCTTCTGTCTATCATCTGTGAGACCCTAGGAAGTTATGAAATTATTCTGATCTTTGGTTTTCTCATTTGATCACCAGGAGTAGGACTAATTTAAAGGGATGCTGTGAGGATTCAATTAGATAATGCATGACTTGAGCACTGGGCAGGTGGTAGGCATGTCTGGTAGATAATCTGATACATAAGGGATGCCAAAATAGACATTTGTTGAATAAATGAACAAACTCCTCCCTTCTCTCCAACCCCTCAATCTGAACAAGTGATGCTACTTAAAGAAGAAAATTAGATGCTTCAAATTTTAGCAATCCAAAGCATGAAGTTTTTCTTAACACTTGAATAATATAAAACAAAATGTCAAATAATAATAAAAAATAATAAACATACCACCATGCATTCTGATGTTGCTCTAGAGTTTCCTCAGCACTTTGCCCTCATGTCTCCGTGACACTAAATGGAACAGGCAGGCATTCCAGTTTGAGTCCAACACAGTGTTAATAATAGCGAATGTTTACAGTGCCTTGAGTTATGGGTGTCAAAGAAGGGGTCATGCCCTTGTTACTTAAATCTCAAACAAGGCTTCCATCGGTTCATGGCTGCAGGGTACAAAATGAGGTGCAATTTAATGTCCATCTGGGCATCTGTTCCTCAGGTGCTAGCACTGCTGTCTGTGGTTCACGGTATATCTGGGGTAGCAACACAGCAAAGAAAGGGACCCAAGTTGTGCCTGGGAAGTTTCTACTCTCAGCCAAGATGTGCACATGAATTTAAAATTACCCAAGAGGGTGTTTCAGAGTTGCTGGCCAAAGAGTGGTGTCTTCTAATCTGGAGAGCAGCTGCTGGGCACAAACATGCAAACACACACACACACACACACACAGACACACACACACACACAGACGTGCTCACGCAGCCTGTGCGTGTCTCTACTTGTCTGCTCTGGGCAGATGGTTCCTGGCTTTTGGGTCACCTCATCCTGCAGCCCAGTCCAGTTAGACCCTTTCTTCCACAGAGACTGGCAAGCTGTGGGGTAAGGGTTTTGGTAAGGCTGCCTGTCTTCAGAGCATGAAGGACACTGCCCGGAGAGGAAAGAGGGCAATATTTAGTGTTTGGGCCCACTTGTTGTTGGGCTCTCCACTGCCTCTCCTTTGCAGAGCTATCACTGGCCCCCGGGTGCAAACTCTCGGTGGCTTTCAAGCCTACAAAACAAAAACTGAGAGGGTGTCCAAAAAGAGAAGAAGAAAACGCTGTTGTTGGTCCTGGGTTCCACTGTTGGATTTTGGCGGGGATGAGAAGAAGGAATTACCAGGCGTGATCAACAACGGTACCTGCACGGTAAGCTAAGTGTCCCCATCCTTGCTGAGAAGATGGGATGTTTCTGTGTTCTTCAACAGCTAGGAGTGGCCAACACCACTCTCCAGAAGTAGGATCTTGTGAATATTATGCAAGGGAATGTAGTATGATTAAGAGCTCATGACAGATGATGACTTTTAGGCTAAAATGACTAAGAGTTGCTTGCAAAATAGAGGAACTATCCTGACAGTAGGTAAGTTTTACTAAAGTGATACACATGAAAGGAAGCCAAAATGAAACTTTAAATTGTTATCCTGTTAAGAGTAAGATGAATAGTCAAAGATTAAAGGAAAAGTATGTTTGGATAAATGCTTTCCTTCTTAATAGCCTGATTTTGTAAGCCGATGTGAATGATCAATATGCCATGTCAAAATCATCACAATGTGTTGAAAATGGAGAAGTATACTGAATAGGTTAAATTGCAGAGGAAGAATTCTCTTTTCATGGAAAGATTAGCGGAAGAAACTAACATCTTCAAATGGCAACTAGATTGTATCTTTCTTCTTTTGTTTGTTTACCTTCTGTTGATGTTAAGATTTAATGAATGAGAGCCAGAGAACAGAAGCAGGTTTCTGAGGTAAGGTTTTTGAGAGATCTTGGGAGATACCTATCAAGAGCTTGTTCTGTAACACCCCACAGAAGATGACTGGATATCCATGGGCACATCACATCCAGATACAAATGGGAAATGACACTAGGCTGCTGCCAAATGATATCACAGAAAATTCTGCTCACTGTACTCCTCGATGGGAGGATTATTCAATGTTTAGGGTGGCTGCACAGTTGTGTATATAGGAGCTCCATTGAAGAGGGTATGTGTTCAGTTAAAATGGTTGTGACATATTCAGTTATTCTTTTTTCTTTCCATACCAATTAATGACTACATCTCTTTCTTTATTCATTATCTGTTCATATCTCAGGAAGGAATAGAAGAGGTGCAACAAATACACTGTTTACACTACCATATTCCACGTGTGTATTAGATTTGCATAAAGGAGAACATGGTGTAGTTAATGCTAGAGAATGCATTGAAATTACGGCAATGTTCCTTTAGCTACAGTTAAACATGTTTTTCCTGTGATGACATTTTCTGATTTATCAATCTGCTATCTCCCAAAGCCAAATATTCCAAGTAAACATTTCTCTATGTTTATCAGTTGACACTATTATGAAACTCTCATTATGCTTAATTAAAAATCAGCATAAATACTGTAAGAACTGTTTGTTAATAAAAATTTCTAAAGGCAGCAATAATATTCATGGGCTCTTTCCACCTGGGTAATTAAAGTCTACTCTAATGAGAATTTTCTAAGTAATTTCCCAAAGCAATGTGGGGTTTGGGTTCTTAAACTAACCAATACAAAGATACTCTGTAAAAGTTCTGCAGCAAAGAAAAGCATTCATTATTTAAAAAGTGAGTGACAATTTATTTTTAGAGTTTACCTTCTATTAAAGTTCATGTGTAATTGTCTTTTTTGCTTAAACTTTATTTAAGCAATAAATTAGCAATAAATTTAAGTAATAAATTTAGTCAAGACTTGGTCTTAGGTAGTGGCGCTGGCAATAGAGATGAAGATATTTTATTGTGCCATCGAAATGATGGTGCCTTTAATAGAGCATTATTGTAGGAGACTGCCATTGCAACTTGCCAAAAGTTAGGCAGGTCAAAGGATGCAACAAACCTAAAAGTAAGGGGCTCTATCTTCTTTTCTTCCGGTTACAGACCATATTATTCTATGTCCTAACCTAAAGCAAAATTTTCATTACCAATGTAATAATACCCGCTTCACCTTTCTAATATGTTACTTTAAAAAACATTTAAAGAAAAAGTGCTAGTAGCTTTTATTTTCCTTAGGGTAGAACTAGTGCCTACCAGCAACACACAATAAGTTTGTTTAGTTATATTAGGGGAACACTTTTATAGTAATAGCTTAGTTTGTTTGCTCATTTGTTCATGCATTCATCAACTATTTAGAATGCCTACTCTGTGCTAGGCCCTGTTCTGATTACTGGGACTATAACAGTGAATGAGACAAACATGGTCTCCAGATGCCCTGAGTGTAGGAATCTGCACAGAGAGTCTGATTACTAGTGATCTGAATCTGTATATTGTACATGTTGTTCAACATAGATATGGAGACAATTTTAGATACCATCTCAGCATCAAATAATTGAATTGGAAAACACATTTTGAGTGTAAATACTTGAGCCTTCTTTGAGGGATTTGACATTTCAGTGCAAGCTATAGATGTTAGACAAAAAACTCACATACTAATACCATCTGCTTCTTCAGAATTGGGTCGGACAGGAAGTCTAAAGAAGACAGAAGAAAATTTGTATTACAGCCTCTTAGAAGTCTAGGGTTCAAATCTGACAGTAGTTCAAGATTTTCTGTTTAATCTGACAGTCAATCACTGGGGCCCACACTGAAAAAGCAGGCCTATTGTGCTTCTCATCTTGGTTGAGGAGACTTTTATTACAACGTCATTTTATACCTACAAGGTGTTTTATACTGTGTATGAAACTCGCATTGTCAATTACTCACTGACCCTATGTTGTAGGAAAGGCAGGTATTACTGTTCCCTGTTCAGCAGATGGACAAACTAAGTTTTAGATATTTAAGGGACTAGCCCAGCTAATGTTTTCTCTAATGCACAGCCTCATGGGGTAATCTCTTAAATAAAGGACTAGAAAAATTCTGTGTTTTCAACATGAGTACTCATAGCCCTGACCTATTGTTTGAAAGTGGTATTAGCAAACAGGAAACCATGTAGATAGAGGAACATTTCATGCCTCCCCCCACCACCCTCTTCCTGCCTCCATTGCCTTTCTAGGTCCTAACCCTAGAGTTTTTCCTTCTGGCCCTTCAAAAATCAGTTTAGTTGCTTAAAGAGATATAAGCTGCTACCTTTTTCTTCTTCTTTTTGGGTGGAATGATGAAGTAGAATATGGCAAACTGGGCTGTAAAGCTCTGAACTGACTCCTAATATTATTGTAATGAAATAAAAAATTATTCTGAGTGATAAGATTTTAAAAAGTTTGTGACTGTTTAGGACAGGAACAGTATAGTATATTAGTATATCCACCTACCTGCAAAATGCAAATGGAATTTTACATTGCTATTAGTGCCACCAGCCTGGCAACATAAAACACTTGTCACATCAGATCAGACCATTGTCCACCCAGTCCAGATCCTGCTTCCGGTGCAAGCATAAGTAGGCTGTTGTGAAGAAGCAGTTTATCGTGGGTAAGAGGAAAAATTCACAAGAAAAAATACTCTACATGGAAAAATGGTAAGCACAGGAAATGGAGAGTTATACAGAGCTGAGCAGAGCAGTGAACAGAGAAGGTTTTTCTGATGGATTTTGAGAGTTAAGCCACATAGCTAGTACTGTCTATTATTAGCTATGACCAAGCAAATACACGACTTTCTTTCTTTTTTTTACATTCTTCCTGGAACTTCCTGTACATGTATTTAAAGTTTGTTGTAATTCCTTGGAGGCTTTTAGCTACTTTTTTCTCTATTTGTGGCTTGAAATGGATGACATGTATCTTCATGATGGATCTAGGGACAATCACTTGACCAGGAAACTGGAATTCAGGGGAGGATAGCAAGCTAGATAAAGCTGCTTCTGTGCTTCTCCTTAGAGTTGCTGGCCCTCAAACAAAAAAATACAGAGGCAGCTGCTTCTGAGCCACGATATTAAACGGACAGGTTGTGACTAGGGACACCAGCTCCTTGTTTCAGCTGCTACTAACATTTTTAAATGAAGCTATTTTAAGAACCTTTGCATTTGATCAGGGAGCATGTGGGGTTAAGCTTTATGTTTTCCACTTCAGTTTTAGATTCTAAGCAGGTACAGTTAGTAGTTCTAATTTTAAAACTTATTACTGCATTTCCTTCCAATCAATGTAAAAATATTATATTCCCAAAGCCACCAGGGGTGTATTAGTGACTTGATTTATCTTGGGGCTGGTTCTATCTCAGATGACATCTCCTAATCTTTCTTCTTCAAACAAGAACAAAAATGGTTGCCAACAGTTTGAAGAGTGGGTATGGGTAGAGAAGTTACTAAGGATTCTTTGGGGGAGGCACTGGGGGGGTCATAAAAGAAACATTTGCAGATGCAGATTGCAGTGCCTATCTCTTCCCTCAGTGATTCCTGAGTTTGATGCTTTTTAATCTACTTTAGCAGCTAACTTATATATCATTAACCTTAGAATGTTAGGTAACAATATTTACAGTGGCTTCATTCATAATTGCAAAAACCTGGAAGCAACTCCAGTGCCGTTCAATTGGTGAATGAATAATCAAACTATAGTATATCAACACTATGAATTACTCAGCAATACCAATGAAACACACAACAATATGGATGAACTCAATTGCATTATGCTAACTGAAAGAACCCAGACTCAAAAAGCTACATCCTGAATGACTTCATTTATACAACATTGTGGGAAAAAACCCCAAAAACTATAGGGACAGAAAACACATCAGTGTTTGTCAACAGCTGACACTGAGGGGAGGAACCGACTCCAATAGCGTGAGCAGGAACATCTTGGGTGATGGAACTGCTTTATGTCTTGACTATAACGGTGGTTACATAATTGCATGAGCTTGTCAAAATCTGCAGAATTGTACATTATATAAGAGGTAATTTTACGATACGTAAAGCATACCTTATTGTGTGGCTCTATATATTGAGAGAATCCCACTTCAAACTTCAACCAGCGTATTCTGCTTTGGTGTTGGATGGAATTCTTGCAGATTTTCATTGAAAAAAATTTTTTTAGGATATTGAAACACACAAAAGAAAAAGAACCCTTAAAAATGACTAATAGAGTCCAACCATCTTGATTTACAGATGAAGAATTGAGGCCTGAGAAAGTTAGTGGCAGAGAAATAGGTGTTTTTTTTTTTTTTTTTTCTTTAAGAGACAGTTAAAAATGATCATCCTGTAGAACCCAGAAAACTCAACTCTGTTCTTGTATAACACTGACTGTCAAACTGCATTGAAAAAGCCATGGGACCAAAAACTACGCAATCAACTCCAAGTACCTGCTTTCCAAATGTCATGTTGCGAAACTGGCCAGAAGCTGCTCGCTTCTGACAGATATACAGTTACAAGGGAATATGATCTGATTTTAGTATTCGGATAGACATTATAGCAAGC